TGAAAATTTGTGAAAATTCATGTCGTTTGGTAACAAGAGTGACCCTCAACAGACTGTTTAACCTCTAGCTTTTTTTAAAGCACTTTCAGAAAGAGGTATTGCAAGGTTAGTGGTTATTTTGTACGCTCTTTCCAGTGAAATATAAATAAAAATAAAATAAAACTTTTCTCCGGATAGCCGCACGGTACCTAGACCGGTTTTCTGGCGGACGCTCTCTTAAACACTTAAGAAAGGAAAAAGTTATACTCACGTCTCTAACAAATAGTAATGAATAAATGCCAGAGTACCTACACCGACGAATGCACCAGTCCAACTCCAAACGCATTCATGCCATGATAATCGTTTGGGCCGCTGTTCCTTTAAACCACGCCACTTTTTAAAATAATGTTTAAGTCTTTCTTGCCGTTCTACTTTTGGTTTCACACTGTCAGTATCATCTTTTTTTGCAGGTGTCTGCTCGCAGATACTATCGTTATTACTATTGAACGGAGCAACTTCAAACTTGATAATATTCATACTTATAGGTTCCTCAGTTACTTCGACGAGATCTTGCGGCTCATCGCCAATTTCTCGTCGAGTTTCTTTCTTCTCAACATCTTTGAGTGGATCGTCGACATAAATTATAGTGTTGGGTACAACTATGTCATTATAATTTATGCGTTGACCGATGTTATTTAAAAAGATCGGTTTATTAACAGAATTTGGATAATTTAAACTACCCAATGACATATGGGTTGAACTAAATAGAGAAAAGCAGTCATTTCGTTGAGATATAACACAGTAGCCTTTAATCCAATGGTACCGTACAAATACGTTTTACAAAATCGAGTTTAATATGTTCTCGAATAGAAGCAAATATCTTCTTAGACAGATCCTTAGAAACATTTTACAGCAAGTTTTCTTCAAAGCAGACATAGTTTTTGTGAATTTCCACTTTCAGAACCTTTTCCTCATTTCCTTGATTGTATGTTAAGAGTCATAAACGAAAACTACCTGTCTATCACAACGTGGCGGATGGATAGAATCTCACTATTAAAACCTCCATGAAATTCTTGGCTTCGAGTTCTGCTTCGCATTTGAAAAATAAACGTAAACACATGTTGTCGTTGCTAAGGCTCATTAGTGGCTGAAATTCGATACAGATGTGGACTCATGCGCGTTCTTCTGAACAAGTTCTGGCGATTACAAGATGAAGGTGCCTGGTACCTTTATCTGCGCAATAAAAACTTACAGTCAGTAAGGGGACACTTACTATATTCCGGTTGGGAATAGCAACCATATCTCGATCAGAATATAAAAGGCAGAATTTCGTCGTAAAAACGATTAAGGGAAAAATGACGATGTTATAAGAAAAATTGATTGGCAAGAGCTCGAAAAACTACATCGGATTCTGCTGTGTTTGATAACAACTGTATCAAGCATCTAGCAACTATTTTTTCGAACAAAAACTTTTATCAAATTTGAATCGAATTTATATTCCGATCAGCATATAGGCGGTTAACGCTTTATTGGATATAGTCTTGATCTAACCGCTTTCCGCACCGCTCAAGTCTTGGTTATTCAGCGGCGAAAACCGCAGGTCTCTATCTCATTCCTATGAAAATTTACTCAAAAAATACCTCCCGACACTGTATTTTGGGATGGATAGTAGTTGAATCGAATTGAGCAAGTTGTCTTGTTGATGAATTTTAGATTCACACATATTCTATGTAATCCTCATTGAATATAATAAAATGGATATAGTTTTGTCAACGCACTCAGACTCCGAATGGTTACAAAAATGATTATAATTCCTTCTAGAGACACAGATTAGATGATTAACATTGTTAACATTTTCTCTTTTGAAGAGTTGCGATGGGAAATTGTGGCGTTGACGCGAACCATATATTTTAGAACCAGAAATTGACGCAAACCAGAAATTTTTTCCTTCGCCTCGGAAGTCAAATCTGGCTATTAATTAGGCAGAACATAAAATTTACTAGCGCCTTTTGGGTGAGAGACAGTTTCTGTAGTTTCAGAAACTGTTTCATGGTAAAAAAATGCGTAGTTTGAATGAAGATCTCTTATTAGAAATTGCTTGACTTGAAATTTTTTTCTAGTCAAGTTACGATCACGAAAAAAATTTCTCGAGTCAAAACCATAGCCCAAAAACCTAAAATCTAAAATTACCACCTTCATAATTCTTATCACGATGTCTTGATAGCATTTAATGACCATACGATAAATCATTGATAAGGAATCCTGCCAGCAGTAAATTAATAATGTTCTCGTTTTATTGAGTACAGATTGATGAGAAAGTGTTATTGAAAGACACCGCAGTGTAATACCTAATTATTTCTATTTCTGCAATAGTAATCCTAATTTTTTTGATGCTACGATAAATATAATTCATGCTTCTTTTACAATAATATCCTAAATAATCATACGTCATCGACGAAATATCCAAAACTAGATAAACCGCAAGTAACTTAAACATAAGGGCTAATAAACAGTAGCACTAAGCGTTCTTCTGAACGAAATTTACTAAATTTTAGTTACATATATTTACAACAATGCGTCACGATAAAATCTGGTGTTTCTCGAAGCTTGAGCATACGATAAATGATTTGTTCGTCATATTTACGGAATTCAATTGCTGTACCATCCATTTTTTATTCATGAATAATTTAGTCACATATTGTGTATGACTGCCAATTACCATGAACTTTGTCTAACATATATATATAGTCAGACCAATCGTAAAACGTGATCATAATCAATGGTAATAACACGTAGTTGTTTATGATGATCTGACACTTCATGGCAGTGCATATAAATTTGCAA